AGCGCGGAAGAGGAAGCGTGCTGTGAGTTGTAAGGTTGCCTTATCCCGTAAAAGGACAGATCTCTTGCCACACATGGACCAGTATTCTCTCTCTCAATTCCTTGTCCCAATTCTCCCTCATGCAGAGCTCGGCATTCATAAAGAATGTGCTCTATTGTCTCATTGTTCTTAATGCAATGGAGGCACCATGTGTCCTAGTTCCCCTTCCAACGTCCAAAGTACGCGCCTATTGGACAATGCCCAACTTGGAACTGGGCTAGGACTGCCTGTTCCGCAAGGCAGTGCTCCCACCATGCGTCCTTTCTGTCTGGTCTACTCAACTGCTTAAGTAGCTCTCTGCCCTTGTCGGAAGCATCCCAACTGTCGAACCAAAGTGCCAACAAACCGGTGTCGGCTAGGAATCCTATCACTTGTCTGGACCAGTTGGGAAAGGGGGTAGATGGGGAAATAAGGGGGTATCTAGGTGAATGTTATCGTGATCAGGTTTTAATGCAAAAGTTGTACAATTTGAATTAAAACTCTCAAATCTCCTCAAGAGGACTATTTTAACATATACCACCACATTTGCCAAGTACAATTTCTTTCCCTTGTTGGATACCAAAAAAAAATTTTTAACAACCATTAGTCAACTAACTAATTTGTTAATTTCTTTTTTTTATTCTTCTTTTACCAAGTACAGGAAATAATTATGCAAAATTTCAACTTCATCCAAGATTGGATGTGGGAGAAATAATGTGTACAAACTTTTAACCAGACAGACAGAGTGAGTTGATATATGCTTTTAAAAAACAACAACTCAATCCTAAAATGTCAAGTAAAAAAATTGTAAATTATTTGTAATTTTGTGAATTAGGAAGTTATTTTCATAACATTGTGTAGCATTGAGTGAAAAGATAAACCTCTGTGCCTTATTTGAAAAAAACCTTTCGGCTTACAAAGGCTATAATAAATTCCAAAGTGAATTCAATAACAATCCTTATGCATCCAAGATTGTGACACTAGTGACCGGTTAAATTTAGACAGTTTAGATAGAGTTTTAAAAAAGTCAATCTAGATTTTTTAGAGTCTAGAGTATTATACTTATAGAGTCTATCAGTTACTCATTCTTTTATAATTCAATTTGTACTGAGTTAGAGTTAGTAAATATATGTGATTAGACTCAAGATTCTAGTATATATATATATATATATATATATATATATATATATATATATATATATATATATATGTTACTGTTACTCATAATCCTATCAACTTAATTAACTAATAGTAGTAATAGTATTAGATCTATATTGTAATGCAGATCTAGATCTAGTACTCTGGACACTCTATCACTGTGAGTGTGACTGTAGTTGTGTAGTCACAATGTAGTGTTTAAGTGTAGGCGTCTAGCAAGTGTAGTATGTCTGAGTCTATGGATATCATATAAAATAATAATGGCTAATGCAGTAATCATACATGATACAGTAATCATAATCATGATGAATGATGATGCCAATCAATGCCATTGGCAATGGTTACTACTGGCAGTACTGGTAGACGAGTAGAAATTTTAAAAAAACTTCTCAGCTAGATCTAGATTTCATAGTTTAGGAGTGCTTCACGGATCAGGCATACCGATTATGGATAGTGGAGCTAAATCTAAATATAGAAAATGGACTTACCAAAAAAATTTAATCCACTTTAAATATGATTCGTGTTTACGAAAAAAAACAAAATCAATATTTTTGTTGTCAAGAGACAATCACTCAGCCTAATGGAAACAGTCTGTAGAGTCTAGATTCTGTAATGTTCTTCTCTAATTTTTTCCATTTAATTGTGGTACAAAAACATTAAAACATTTCGCATTTTTAATTAGCCTATCGTAGCGGCACTGTAGCCTATGTGTTAATACTTTATTATTATTGTTATATTAATAAAATGATTAGATTATAATTATGTTGAAACGCTTTGATGTACATTTTTTAACTCAATGTTTTTGATCTGCGGGGTTGTTTAGACAAGAAGATGTCTGAGAAACAGTGGAATGATCGTTCCTGCGAGTGGAAGACATTTCAGGTGCTTGGTGGAAGACAGCCGTTTTTTGGGACAAGAAAACACACGGATTGTGTTCTTGTGACAGTGGTGAATAAACGATGAATGAAGCGAGAGAATATCTAAAAACCAATGCTGTTTTTTTTAACCAAGGCTGTTTTTTTTAACCAAGGCTGTTTTTGAACCGAGGCTGTTTTTTTTAACCAAGGCTGTTTTTTTAAACCAATGCTGTTTTTAACTTAGGCTGTTTTTTTTTAAACTAATGATGTTTTTAGCCAAGGGCGTTTTTTAACCAAGGGTGTTTTTTTTAACCTAGGCTGTTTTTTAACCAAGGTGTTTTTTTTAACTAAGGCTGCTTTTAACCAAGGCTGTTATTTGTTTGTGGTGTCATCATAACCAACCAACCATCATCTTTTTCAGTTAACATTTCGCCGAGTTGCCTGCCTTTATTTAAGTGTACGACAATATTTTAACAAATATTATCTTCTTATCTTATAAATTAATCGTTACTTCAAAATAGCAAACGGCTACGTCCCGCGCATTTTATGTGTCAGTCTAGTCATGCATGTTAATATGACACAATCTAGTAATTTGATATGCTGAACGCCATAGCAATGGGTACTCTTAATTTCTACATAACTTCATAATTTATCTTTGATATACGCCTATCTATCAGTATTGTCCCAGTCAGCACCACTCATATGAAATAAAGTCTTTCATCCTTGTCCCAACCATGTCATCTGGGTCGTCCCCCTTTCCTTCTGATGTTTGGTTTCTTTTTTAGAACAACCCTGAGATGTCGGTTTTCTGGCATGGACCTTTTCTATCCACCACCCATCTAAATATATTATTATAATAAAGTTAGCCGTGGATACAAGGCTGATGTATACTTCACATCATTTTGTGTTCCCATCTTGCATTGATGGCTTATACTTGATAAATTTACTTAATTAACAGCTAATACTGTCCACAGAAGTTTTTTTTATTAAATTGTTATGTTGTTTTTTTGTGAAAACTAGAACGCCGTTATATGTTAACATAATTAATGCCATAAATCAATGCATTGCCATGTTATTATTTTATGTTCATCTTATGTGCATCTATTTGTAGACACATACCCTTCTGCGAACACATGCACTTGGACAAAAGTCCTTCTATACGTGCCCCTGTGTTTAAGGTACGGGTACGCACGTTTAGAGAGATGGCTGCCTGATCGAGTGGTGTGCGCTTTGGACTGTAGTATCGATGGTCCTGCTGGGGGTTTGGGCTAGGATGGGATTATCAGAAGGAACCATCCATCCATCCATCCCAGTGGCGCTACAGCCCATGGAGGGCTCTGGCCTGCTTTAACACATCCTTCCATTCAGATCTCTCCTTTCGTCTCCACGCCCTAACCCCAAGCTGCTTCAGATCTGCTTCCACATCGTCAATCCATCGCATTCGGGGTCTGCCTTTGGGTCGCCTGCCTTTTGGTTTTTGCCTGTATACGATTTTCGCTCCTCTGTTATCTGACATTCTTTCAAGGTGACCTTGCCCAACGTAGTCTGCTCTTTTTTATTTCCGTCACTATTGGTGGGTCTTCATACAATTGATATATCTCATGGTTAGTGCGTGTCCTCCACCCTGTTTCATCCTGTATGGCACCATAGATTTTCATAAGAATATCAGAAGGAACATCGAACGTAAAACAAGCAAACCAAAAGAAGTCGATAAGCAATTAATTTACAAGCTCTTTGAGGCGGAGCAAGGGAAGAAGAACAAGAGTTCTTTGTCTTTGCGGACTGTAACCGTAGCAGTTCTTCACTGGAATTGAAGAGTTCTTAAAGTTCAACTTAGATTTGGTCTTTGCTCAAACACTAGAACCACTCCAATTAATATTACCCACTCTTACTGAATACGACACGAGAGAAAAACAGACTCCGACAAACAACGGCTTTGTCTGTTTGTAAAATGTTTTAAAATGTCTGCATTAGATATGATACAATATGCATTATTATTATAAATTAGTTTCCAGCTAGTGGGACTATTAGGCATACCACAAGGCCAACAAGTCAACTTTCTAGTATGACTATTGGATTTTTTTTTGTTGATTACTGATCTTACATCTATCCATCAACCATCCCAGTAACACTACAGCCCATGGAGGGCCCTGGCCTGTTCTAGCACATCTTTCCATTCTGATCTATCCTGTGCTTTACGTCTTAATGCCCCTACTTTTAGCTGTTGTAGATCTGCCTCTGCATCAAGCCACCGTACTCATTCTGCCTTTTGGGTTTTTGCCGGTGAACAATCTTTACTCACAACATGTTATCCTTATCTCATTTACTTAGTTTTGTCTTGTGTTGTTGTTTTTGTAACTGTTAAAAAGACAGTTCAAATAATCCATCATAAAAAAATGTCTTGACTGTACCAACAGGTAAGTAAAAACTATGAAATGGTTTATAAATGTATATTTTTCTCAGGGTATCCAAATCAACGCTAGATTAATTCTCCGAGCATTGATATAACTATTGTTAGCACAATTAGTTTGTTTGCTGAAGTCCTCTGGGATAGATTTCAAAGTGTTGCCTGCTAGTAACAAGCTTTCATTGATTCTAGGCCAATCATGGTGCACACAATGGCAAGACAGGTTCTAGACTGGAATCCACAGGAGAAAAGAAAGGCTGGAAGATCAAAGAAGACATGGAGAGAAAATCGGTAGACCAAAAAGCAAAGATGACACGATAGACATGGGCCCAACCCGAGAGAAGTTACCCAGAGTCCGATGGTGAAGTGCTGTCGAAGCCCTATGCTCCACTGGGAGTCAAACGGATTAACCCTTAAAGTGCTGAGCTGTTATACAATGAGTGTATACAAAATGGAATTACAATTCTGATGATTAGAGGCTAAAGTACTACACGCATTTTAAGGGTTAACCATTATGCAACCAAAACTTAAATTTGAATATTATAGAACAAAACAGAAAATGCTTTGTTTCAAAAACAATTTATTTATTTATTTAACCCAAGTCAAGCTAGAACAGTAAGTTCCTCTATGTGAATATGCCATATAATATAATGTGGCACTGTCAATCATCAATGAAGTCAGCAACAATTTTAATTCTTCATACAGACAAAGAAAAACAATTGAACATACAAAAACTTAACATGGTTTAGTTAATTAGTACATTTGCATTCATTACCATGAGCTGACTCAATGATTCAAAACATAAAAAGAGATAAAATTCAATGTTCAGACCACACTTTCCATTCAATTCTAATTGTCTGTTCAGTCATTATATCCACACAATCCAGTCAGTCACACTTCCAATCTAATTCAGTGTCATGTATTCTATCCACTATATTCATTTGACAGTCTCACAGAAAACATAAATACACAGAAGATATTCTCCTTCATTGTGATGGCATTTGAAAATGGTCCATGGTCAGTACCAGTCAGGCCTAGGTAGTATCTAAGTACCTTAGCTAAGTGATGTTTTACTTGGCTCTAAGACAAGCACTACCTTTGGCTTGCTTACCAAAAGTTATACAGCCCAGGCAGAAACAAACAGCCAACAGAAAGCAGTGTTTCTCCCTAAGCAAAGATATGAATATTAAAAAGAAAGTGAATAGGAACAAGGATGTGTGACTGAGAGGCTTAAATTGCTGAGCTACCTTTCAAAGGGGCTTGGCTACCTATCAAGGGGAAAGAAGAGTTGTGTTTGCTGAGCAACTAAAGACAGAATGGAAACCTTCTCCCAGGTACCCTTTTTGCCCCCCCACCCCCCCCCCTCAACCGTCCACAAAAGAGATTGGCCCCTAGCACACTGAGGATGCTAGAAACATGAAAGTTACATAAAAGCAATTTAAAAAAAAACAACAAGAGTTTTCCGAACATGTTTTACATTGCTTTCATCTCAAAGCAAAATCAGACAATTGATCAGCGAAGCCACAAGATGAACAAAAGTAGGTGTGGGGAAGTGTCCTAAAAAAAGACTTTAATTAAGCCAACCTTTTCTGCTTTACTATTTGGTAGGGCATGAGCCATGATGAGATCATAAAAGAATAGGCTTTGGGACTACTTAAAATTTTTAAACAAGAGTATATTGTGATAAATCGGGGAACAAAGCAAAGGGGTATCCATTGGGTAAAAGCTAGTCAGACAAATAAAAATAACTTCTGCTATTTTGCACAATGGATTGTAGGACAGTATGGAATATCCAACATTTAAATTGCTGGACACCCCCATGCATCCTTGACACAACAGTTCAACATAACAAAACAAGCAGTAAGAAAGCATTGCAACTATTTCTTTCCTGAAAAATATTTGCACAAAGACTAACAAACTATTGAACTAATTGAAATACAAAGTTTGGCTGAACACTAAGCATGAGCTTATTTGATCCTCCTGGTTCAGAGAATTAACACACGAAAAATAATTAATTCACAGACTTTCAAACCCTTTTCATAACAGAAACAAAATAGTCCACCTCCCCTCTCTTGAGATGTCAACTCTGCAATATTACATTCATGAACACTATCAATGTTAAGCTAGAACCAATTGCTCCACTGTATTTACATTTGATTTGTTCTCTTCCTCAAACCTGCTAAACAATTCAAATTTGTCAACAGTTTGTCTTTTTTTAAGCTAAATTTTACTTTAAAGAGAATGAACTGAGATTTGAGTCTCTTCATATGTCATCCCCTGCCAACTCTAAGACTGTGCTGGAGTAAGCTAGATCCCAGTAGTGCTCAACACCAAGTTTCTTGAGCTGCTCTCGTGCAAAGGATTCTGTCGGACAAGTCTTAAACTTCATTTCATCAAAAGATCTGGTCTTCACCATCCCCTGAAACAGTTCAAACAAAATGAAGATAATTGTAACAGCATGAAATGGATGTGTAATACTTCGGGGTGGCAATGCTCTAAAACACTCACTGTTTTTACTTTATAAAATACAGAGGATATTTATATAAAATACTACAACTCAAAAGCACATTCACTATGTACAGTAATTTAGAAAACTAAATAAATGTGTAATACTTCAGGAATTTAATAAACTTCCTCATTTTTTTTAAAGTGCAGCATTTAATCAATAGCCAGTAACTTTTAAAATTCACTCACTTATTGTGACCATACCAGTACAAAAATATGATAATGATTTCATATTTGATAAAAGAGCATGTCAAAGTAATGTGTTTAGGCTAAAAAAAAAATGAAGCAATTCTCTGTAATGACTGCTTGAAAACAAATAATAAAAAGAACTAGTTGCATCCATAGAAATTTATTTTTATAAATAAAAAAAAAACATGTATTACCTCCCAGACAAGAACACACTTATTGGTTTTATCCACAGAGCTGACATCATCATCTTTGTCATCTGGTAGGCATAAAAAAAAAGACATTTGGTATGGAGTTATCAACAAACAGCAGCAGAGTTTATATCTACATTTCTACAACTATTGTTTGACAAACAGACCTTGTACTTTGCTATGGGCTGTTTGTTATAAGTGGTAAATTTTGTAAAGTTCATTTGTTTCTATGTTTAACGCCTCATATGATTAGAAATAACACCTAGAAAATACCTTTTGTGCCTGCCGTGCAGGGGTGCCACTTATTTTTCCAGTAAACCCTGAAACTTTTTCATTTTTTATCATTTTTATAAACCCCGAAACCGAAATACACTGACTTCACAAAGCCGGGAACGTGCCAGCTAAAATGTTTTTAATTTAATTTTTTGCAACAAATGAGTGAACAATAAAACTTGCTTAGTTTATTTTGTATATATAACTTCAAGGACGCAATGCACAAAATTTTAAAAATCCCCATAAATTAAAAAAATGAAAAAAAAAAAAGGGGGGCGAAATTTGGAACGTTTACTTTTTCAAAATGGCATCACTTCACAAAAATAAAACATATAGATTTATATGCCCACATAATGTAAATATGTAATTAGTAGGCATATCATTATAATGAATAGAGTTTTTGTGTATTTATCGTAATACAAGAGTGGGTCTAAGAGCTTGATTTAGTACAATTTTATTTTAACAATGTTTGCACCCCCCTCCCAAAAAAAAAAAGTTATTTTAAATGATGTTTCTCTCTTAACCTTTAACACTTTATTTCCTCATTATTCCTTTGAAGCCCCCTGCTTTAATCACATTGTTATCAATGTACATGCATGGGCCAGGACATCTTTGTGGGAAGCGTGGTCGAGAGGCCAAGTGCGCTTGAACTTAACTTGGCTTGGCTACCTTAAAGGGGGCTCGAGGTTCGACACCCGACTCGGGCAGAGTTGTGTTCACTGAGCGCCTAAAGGCAGCACAGAAAACCAACTCCTAGATACCCCCCCCCCCTCCCACTGGTCCACAAATGAGATTGGACCAAAAGAGCTCTGAGCATGCAAGTAGCGCTATATAAAAGCTATAATAATAATCTATTGAAACAAGATAAATTTGACTTACGATCTACTCCAAAATGGACATTGTTTTTTCTACCCCTACCCCAGATTTAGTTTCTAATATTTAAATGTAGATCTAGAATTTGCTGGACTGCTTGTACATAATTTGTATAGAGTAATAGACTAATCAATCTAGGTCTCCAGGCAAACACAAAATTATTAAGTTAATTAATTCTTTAATTATTGATTCTATACTGTTTGGATCTAGAGTTCTGCCATCTCCACTAATACAATGTAAACTGGCTATCTATTGTAAATCTAGATCTAGAACTAATCCATCCCAAATCTAGATCTGGATCCTACCTCTAGAATACTCCAGATCAATATGTAATCTAGATTTCTAGATCTAGACTCTATATATAGAATTATTAGAATCTATAAAAATATAAAGCATTGAAAGAAAGTTTAAGATAAGCTCTAATTAGGCTAAAATTGTAAATCGATGCGCTTTGCGTATAGAATGTTTACATTCTAAAAAATGTAAATCAAGTAAAAGTCTCAAGAATTGTGAGATAGAAACTGGTCAATTTTGTTTAAAAATGACAGCTCCCATGATCGAAACTAGCAACTAAAATTAATGGGGGAAATGCAGCGAAATTTTGACCAAATCTGAAATCGACTCAAAACTCGGATTTTAACATAATCGTAGAGGACAAACTAGGAGGGGGAAAAATTGGACCCTCGAAACCCGAATTTCCAGGTTATCCTGGAAAAGTGGCACCCTTGTTGTGATCATTCTCCTCTAACTTTTGTTTAATATGTAGGCACTTAAAAAGGAAACAAACACAAATACTAGCTCTTGAAATGTGAACAACACATTACCATTGTCTTTGACTCGTCTGTGTGATTCAGACCATTTGATTCTATTCAGCATGAGTCGTTTGAATTTTCTCTGTTGTTTAGGACCTGATAAAATAACATGGAGACGTAAAAAGTGGGGAGAATTACTCAGAGAGGATGGATGGTAACCTTACCTTCTGTTAGTTCCTAGTCCATTATTGGGTGTTTTTAAACCCATACAAATTTTGAATAGTAACAACATATATATTTAAATTAGTTTTCATTAAAAAAAGTAAACAATTGAGTGTTTATCTAAGTGTATTTGAGTGCTAAAATTTATTTTTTATATTTGTTAAAAATATAGCTTATTAAAAAAAAATACTGTATAGTACCTGAAAGGGAATTTCTTTTTTTAAGGATAAAACGTATTCATTAATAACAGGTTTTTCTTTACAAAGAGAATATAATTTTGAATCTTTCCCCGATGCTGGGACTAAATGAACATTTTCCAACTGGGAGGTCAGAGGAAAAGAAAAACATAAATCAATTTGAACAAAATAAAACATGTGTACCTCCTTCCACAACCACAACATTGCAATCTTTATAAATGATGGTGATACCAGTCATATACAGCTGCTTGGCGTTGGTCTCAACCTTGAACTTGATAGCAGGGTCACTCAGATCTCGCACTCTGCAAGAGTTGTGAAATAGATAATGTATTCAACACATTTTAAATAGGAAAAATGAATTGTTGGATATATATATATATCTTATCTTATATGATACAGATGTTACTTCAGAAAAGAAGATGAGTATGTCCTACGCGTCATGCAATTAGTCATGCATATTAACCAATGACCTAAACTCTGCCAAGTCACTGGTTTTCCTGGCTAGCTCAGGCAACCCATTTCTTGCTCTAATAGCGCTAGGGAAGAAGGAGTTTTTGTACAAATTTGTCCTAGCATATGGAACGAGGAATATGCCTTTATCTTTTGTGTCTTTCTGAGTATTTAATTAAATTTTGTTTTTGTATTTGAACATTATGGTTCAGTGTTTTATGTATAATTGCTAATTCACTTTTAAGTCTTCTATCCTGAATGCTTTCTAAATTTAGTGATTTTACTAAAGGTGTTACTCTAGTCAAATGTGAATATTTGTTTGTTATGAATATCACTGTATGCTTATATATATATATATATATATATATATATATATATATATATATATATATATATATATATATTTATATATATATATTTGAGTAGGCTTTGGCATGAAACTGTAGAAACAAGACAGAAACTATATATAGAACTAGCCACATTTAAAGAAAATGATGCATTATTACATAGATAAAGGCAGCACTAGTTACCAAATTTTTAATGAGAGAAAATGGGGAATTGAATATAGAAAAATAAGGGACAGTCTTGACTAGGACATGAACCATGGACCCTATGATTTGACAATGCTACCTAGAAGCAACGCAGTGCCAAGCGAACAAATCACTAGACCATTAAATCTCCCTTCAACTCCACCCCTACAAAAAATAA